TATTTGAAAAGCAGGTCATTTATTAAAAGACCTTTTAAAAGCTTCATTTCTTAAAAAGCAAAATCATCTGCTCATCCGCGCATCTCTTCTTTAAGTATTTCATATACTTCAACTCCAATTTTTCACAGTTTTCCCCCTTTCTCCTCATTTTGAGGATATTAGTAAGAAGCATTTCTTGACACCACGTCACCAGCTGCCTCTGCTTCTATGCACTGATGTGATTGTGCCCATGAGGATGTGCCAATCCTGGATCCTTGTCCTGGATGTGGAGTCAAGATGCTCTCACCAGAGCATCAGCCCAGTACTGCATTACACTGCATTACACTACATTCCACTGCAGCCCAGGGATTTTAGCTTTCAAACCCTCTCCTCCACCCTTGTCTCACTTTACAGCAGCGCTTTTCAGATGCAGCCTAGGAACAGAGTGCAAGTGTTGTACATGTCACTGGTGTAATACAAAGATTCCATGTTACTAGATGGCAGGAGGTAAACCAGTAACTATTGCAGGAGGCTGTACTTCCTTTGAACACCACAATACTTAAGGCAGCATTTTGTATGGAGCTAAAGAAGCAGTGAGAACTTATGGTGAGATACAGCAGAGGGAAATACAGCCAATTTGAAGCCAATAGGCTGGTATTTCAAGATATATTTGGCATCCTGTTCTTCCTGAGTGCTCTCATTCACTATTCATGTAACAAACTACCTGTTAGGACATAACAGCTTGGAAACATGGGCTGTCATGAATTCGGGGTTGTAAAAAGACAGGAGATGCAGTGGGAAGGTTGTCTGTGGGAGCTGGGAGTGTGAACTGAACAGAGAGATGAGGCTGGCTAAGAAAGGAAGCCAAGTGAGAAGGGGGTCATGCACTGCAGAGAACAGAAGGAGAAAAGAGTGTGGCCAGCAGGTTAAGGGCTGTGATCTTCCCCCTTTAGTCTGCCCTGGTGAGGCCACATTTGGACTATTGTGTCCAGTTCTGGGCTCTCCAGTTCAAAAAAGACAAGGATCTGCTGGAAGGAGTCCTTTGGAGAGCCACAGAGATTACTATGCTCATACAGCATCTCCTATATAAGGAAAGACAGAGTAACCTGGGTCTGTTCAGCCTGGGGAAAAGGGTGAGAGGAGATCTGATAAAGGTTTATAAATATCTAGAGGGAGGTGCGAGGCAAATGGATGAGGCAGGCTCTTCTTAGTGGTGTGCAGAGATAAGACAAGGAGTAATGGCCTAAAACTTATATATAAGTTCTGTACTAACATGCAGAAGAACACCTTTACAGTATGGCTGACAGAGCACTGGAACAGGCTGCCCAGAGAGGTTGTGGAGTTTCCTTCTGTGGTCATCTTGTGTGATCTGTTGTAGCGTTCCTGCTTTAGCTTGGGGGTTGGACTCGATGATCTCTTGAGATCCCTTCCAGCCCCTGTGATTCTGTGGTTCAGTGGAAAGCCAGACAGGGCAATGAAGGAAGGTGCAGAAAGGGAGAACGTGAGCTGGGAACTCTGAAAAGGCGAAACGCCAAAAAGGTGGAGAAGACTTGCAGTGCCAAAAGCAGGAAACAATAATAGCACAGACACCAGCTCCCTCTTACTCTTCTCTTAAGACCATCATGAAAATTACTTTAAATTTAGAAGAATGACATTTAAGAGATTACAGTTTTTGTTATATAAATGATTGTTTTTCATGGAAAAGTGAAAGAAAAAAAAAAAGCTCACCACAGAACATTACTAAATTTCGACAGGCAGCCATACTCAAATTCTGAAATGATCGAATACAAAGCGTGCTTGGAGGCTGTTCTTATGCAGCAGGGCAAGGCAGACAGCCCAGTGTAGGCGGCTCCACTTTGGGTCATGCTGCCCTGCAGATGGACTGAGCACTTCAGCAGCCATCTACAACCACAACAAACTCTGAAATGGAGCTATCCATTGCCACTTGGGCTCCCAGGGAATAAATAAAAGGGTTAATACTGAAATTTGCTTATTTAGAACTTAACATATCTCCTTTTATCAGGAGATAAAAAGTCCTTGCGCCAAACAGACAGTTTAGATGAAGTGCATTAAGCTATGGGTGATACATTTTCAAGGGCAGATTATTGGAGTCTTTCTGCTGTCAGCAAGAAATGTCAGATGAACTCTGAATATCACTAAATGTCTATGCTTTGGTAAAAAAAGATTTTAACTTGGAATAGTATTACAATTCAGGACAAGACACCTTGTCCAATTTATTCTCTGTCCAGCACAAAGGGACCCCGCAATACATCTGCATTTATATTCATTGCCAAAATAGGCAACGGACCCTTACTATTCAGGGGAACAAAGCTCCAGACCCTCCTACATTCTAAGCCTAATGTGCTCAGCTACTGGTATGGCACCATTAATCGTGGAGAATATGAGCTACATAGCCTTGGAAAACTGTCACCTTCCACATTTATTCATACTACTTGGTCTAATAAAATGTTCTGCATGAACAAATGAGCTGTGAATATAACATACTAAATGTTACCTCTCCCTATCAGTAGGTATCAGACGGGATGTATTTGGGTTTAACTCCTCTCCCTCTCTCCTGCATAAGGAAATCATTGAGCTCTTTTCCACAGAGCTCCATTAAGCACTTTGTTTTTCACTGAATGCCTCAAATGTGTACAGCCTCCGTGGATGGATAAACTGCTGCAGAAAGAGAGAAGACAGCAGCACTGATTGGCCCTGTTGTCTGAATGTATCTTTTGATTTTTGACTTTCTGCCAAAGCATCATCCTTCTGTGTTTACCCTTCAGAAGCCCTCACTCACTCAGATGCTGCACGCGTTTGCAGCTCAGCCTTCTCTCCTGCAGAAACCAAATTCATCAAAAGGAGCATCTCAGAACTCAGATTTATGGATTGTAATTTTGCAGCACAGATCCTGCATCTCAGATCTTTCAAAGCCTTGTTACAACATGAAGTAATTAAAAGAGCAATTTTACGATGCCGCTTTTTCCCTCAGATAAAAGGTTTATCTTCATGCGAAACCATAAAGATTCCAAAGTATACTTCGTCACATTGTTTTCCTCTTCCCCTCATTGTGAATCAAGATAACAGAACCACTCTAAGCCTCTGTGCCGTTGTGCTGTGTGCACACACACGCACAGATTTACACCAAGCACTGGAAACACGCAATGCTTTTTCTCCACTCTGGAGCCAGGGCTGCCACTTTCACAGGACACCACGCAGCTGCATCTCCCTATGAGCTGCTCTTGCTGCAGGAGCTGCTGCATAGCCACTGCTGCTTGCTGTGCATTTTGCACCTGAGTGAATGCCTACTGAAGGCAATGGGAACATGACCAGAATGGGTCCCAGGTGAGGTGTTTGAGCTGGTTACAGCCATCTGTAAACTCACTGTTTGGCACTCGGGAATCTCCCAAGACAGACACAAAACAAGGGACACTCTAGCAACATCTGAATTAGTAGCCTGCAAAAGTAGTTGTTCCCCTCTGAAAACAGAAGCAGCTCAGAGAGCACTGATGTAGCTTTTATACAAGCAAGTAAGGCTGTAAGTAAACCCTCTCTGCATAAACTCCAACAAAGCGTCAAACGAAGGCAATTCTTACCAGTTTGTTCAAAGTCTTGTGGACTTTTCACAGATCTTCTCTCGTGATTTCTAGTGCTGCAGCCTCACTCTGAAAGCTTTGCTCCTGTATAATTCTGCTCCTATTCTTAAGAGCGGAGACACTGGTGTTGGATCCCCACAGCGCTATGTCAAAGGTTCTTCCTAAGCACCTGGGTGAGGAAATGCTCTTACTGACAGCTCACAAGCCTAAATCCCTCGTGCTATTGAAAGGAAATGAATTTGGTTTCTCAAGAGCATGTGGCTTCAGAACAAGCCTTGGGAAACAAGTTTAGAATATCAGCAGATGCTTCGATCCATTTTCTAGTTACAAAGGCTTCTTTATTAATGTTTTTGGCTGACAGCAGTTGAGATAAGTGTTTTAGGAATGATGATAAACACGCTAAGAGAGAACAATGTGAGTGTATTTTTATTCCAGTTTTAACTTCTTTCATTGCTGTACAGCTGCATTACACTTGGCTTTAATCCCTTAAGCATTATTTTCCTTGGCAAAGTAGTCACTGATCTGAGTAGAACTTACTACTGGAAGAATATGCTTGAAAAACCAGTGTGATGTCAGTGCCAACCAAAATCCATGAGGCTTAAACTGTCACAAATGTGCCTGTAGCTGGAATATGTATCTCCTCACTAGGAATGCTGTAGTCTTAGCTAGCGAAGCCAACTGCAGAAAGCATGGAGTAGCTTCCTGCAATTGAATATGTGCCTTGTCCTCCTCTCAGTGAACAACTGTTTGAGAAACAATTGTATAAAACAATGTAGGATAATCCCTGGAATGCCTTAATGTTGGAAAGGTCCTCAAACACCATCCAGTTCCAACTCAACACTGTTCCATGGGCAGGGCTGTCCACCAGCTCAGGCTGCCCAGGGCCCCAACCAACCTGGCCTTGAGGGATGGGGCATCACAGCTTCTCTGAGCAGCTGTGCCACTGCCTCACTGCTGTACCATAGGCACCAAATGACCGTTCTGCTCTGCTTTTAGTTTTGCCTCCATTAACTACCCATGACTATGGGTCAGAACACGGGCTGCAGGCTTCTTAAAGAAAATATAGATCCCAGTTGTGTAAAACAACTTGAATTTTGAAATATATAAATAATCACTGCTGAAGAATAACACAGAAGACCGTGGTGATTCATTACAAATAGATGTTATAAACGGGAACAGGAACATTGCTAGGTAAGGAGCAAGGAAGCTATTTTTAGTCCTGAAAATTTCTTCTAGTTCTGCATATGGATCATGCTGCTACCGTTACTTTCTAAGAAACTGTGTTCTGAAAAGCACTTTTGGGAAGAAACCTTTCACTGGGACCATTAGTTAATGTAGACCTTCAATGGAACTAAAACACAGTTCCCAATACAGTGTAAGAATGGGAGGAGTTAAAAAAAAAAAATGAACAAAACCCACCATACCTGCACCAGGAGCTATTTATTAGCATAACACTCTTCCTTTTAAAGATTTCGTAACAACTGAAGTATATACAAAGTCTTACAGCATTTACACAATAAAAAAGTTTCCTATTAGCTGATGAAGTATAAGGTAGTGCTGCAATTTATTTCAAAGCATGTATACAAGAATAATGAAGCAGGCCACTGTACTTTCAACTCCTCTGCTAGCACACCACAACTGTCAGTTGAAATGACAGTTAATTAAACCATTGGGAAGATACAGATTGTCGAAAGAGTCGTAACAGGTTCACCTGCAGCACTAACCATCATAAGGAGGAAAGAAAATAAAGCTACATACTGTCATGTTTCTACACTTTCTAGAGCTGTAACAAACTTTCACAGCCTTAGATATAACATATGCAAGACAACATAATCACAATTTTTCAGATATAGTTCAGCTACTGAGTGTATTTACTTCGGAATAGGAGGCGTTACATTGATATGGCTGTGTGTTTCCATTTTTGTTCATTAACTGTTCAAATAGGTCTACAAAAAAAATTAAAAGACAGCATGGACTTTGTAGTCATGATGTGTTTGACTAATAAAGGCATTCAATATCAGCTATAGGATCTAATCATTCCTGTCAAAAGTTTAAGACCAGGAATCTTAAGAGTAAAAACGAAACCCACAAAATCCTGCACCTGTGATGCTTTTGTGTGTTGACTCTAGCCTTCGTTAAGCTTTTCCAACAGGGTAATACAAAATCATTAAAATGCTTACACCAAAGCAAATGCAATACTCAGTTTATGAGTGGTCAAGCAGATTCATCAGACCACCTCAGCTGTGAGACTGAGGATGCTTATCTAGAAACAGAAACCTAAACAGTCCCTTACTACAGGTAGGGATACATATTTTAGCAAAGAACAGCGCATTCCTTGCCTTTCAGAAACAGCTTTACAGCTGCCAATAATCCACCTTCTACAAGAGATAAGGTTGCTTTGACTACTGCTGCATGTCTAAACCTCTTACAGTGGCCAATTTTTCTCCTCCCCCCCCCCCACTCTCCCCCCAAACGGGATTCCATTTCAACTTAGAACCTAGAAACGTCAGTTGAAGATATCGGTATTAAGACAAAAAGTGACATATAAAACCCACAAGGAACCACATAAATACCAAAGAAGTCATATAACCTTTCCATGTAAACACTTTGATTATACTAAAGCCCTAATTAGATTCTTGTCTTAAACTTTTGGCAGATAATGTGTATGCTCAGCCAGGCTCTGCAGTTGGTTATTGTTCAAGTGGAAGCCAGGTCAGTTCACATGTTGACAGGCATGCAACTTGGAAACATTGCACAACAAGCAACACAAAGAGATTTGAGAAGTGTACAAGACTTCAAGTAGACTTCACAACCCTTCACAACTGAATATTCACAGACAAAGATACAGTCCTTGCTTTTTCTCCTGTGGATTTTCTCACACATGGGACACTTTCTGTGACTCTCTAGCTTGCTTGATGCTATACAACCACTTGATGATTCTGGCATTCCTTTCAATAGCAGAAATGCCGTATGGCACACGGTCATTGGCACTGTCATCATTTCTAAGGTCACTGTTGCTGTCCTGAGACTGTTCACAGTCTGAGCTAATCATGCTTGCACTGCGAAAGTTGAGGGATATAATATCAGAGTTAGCCCTTGCAAAATTTTCCATCCCAAGGTTTTCAAGCTCTTCAGGATCCAGTCCACAGTAGTTAAAGAATCGTTCAACATCTGCGTCGACACGAAAGTATCTGTCGCTTAAGTCTGATTTTGATCGCTGTAGGGAGGGTCTTCTACTAACCCCGCATCCAGACTCAACTGCCTCAATCTCTGGGGACTTCAGGGTGGCAATGGCAGCAATTTTGGGTTTTGGAGGCAGAGGTGGGGCTGAACTACTGCAAGGTATTGCTTTTAAGGGCTTTGCGCTAGTTACTTTCCTAATGTCTGAGGAGCTGTGAGAGACATGCAAGAAGGTCTCTGCCGACTGGTCTAGGAGCCTTCTACTGACATTGGAGCTGCTCTCCTGGGGGCTGCTACGGCCCTGTGTGGGATAGACCTTCAAGGACTCAGCGAACGAATGTCGGTTCAGTTCCGTCGAATCGGCTCTGTGGGGTGGCCAGTTTCGGGGACCATGCTTGTGCCCCGAACCCGAGCTGGAGCCTTCAGAGCTATTGATGATGTTCTTCAGAATCTCTAGCTTCAGATTTTCTCTCTGGACACCGCTCTCGGTCTTTGCATTGTTGCTGAAGACCTTCAAGGTGGGGCTGCCCAGTGCCCGCTTGGCCGCAGGACAGACCGGCGGCTTCGCCAGCACTGCTGGCTTCACGGGCTCCTGCTTGGCATTGATGACCTCCTGGCTTTTGACGTATTTCGCCTTGTCGGCTTCCAGCCTCTCCACCGCGCTCAGTCTTTTGGGGTTAGGCTCCGCCTGCCTGCGAAAATAGTCAGGTCCTTTGTTCAGGATGCGGAGAGGGACGGCGGATGTGAAAGTCACGGCAGGGCTGACCGGCTTCACCATGCTACCTGTCGGTAGTGTTTCTGTAGGCATGTTTGGTGGTCTTTCCCCCGCAGCCGTTTTGGATTCTTCTCTGGGATCTCCTAAACGCACGGTGTAGAAACATGTACATTAAGCACAATGAATAGCCGATGAATCCAGGGATCTGAGCGTTAGCAGCAGCGCCTCATCTCACAGCTCATTAAATAACGCTGCGCTTCTCTTTTAAAGGCAGCCTTTGTACTGCAAGGCCACCAGACACAAGTCTGTATTAGTCTGCTCCACTGCCTCCTTTCTTCTCGCTGAAAGATGTGGGAGTCTCCTTGCTTCCTTTGTGCGATCTGAAAGGCAGAAGAGCCAACCACATGTTAGTGGCAGCGCCTGACATCAGAGCGATAGCAACAGCAGCCCAACCCTCCTCTCCTCTCCTGTGGCAGCGCGGGGAGGCAGCGCTGGGTGCCCCACCACCACCCAGTGGGATTATGGCAAAAGGAAAGGAGAAGCACACGAGGCCCCTGCTGGGATGCAGCCACACGTGTCTGGGGGCAGGTAAGGGACAATGATGCCAAATGGGCTGGGCCACTGGGTTAGACCCACATACCTCCAGATGGTGAACGAAAGTGCACTTTCAAACACTGCCTGTGGCTTTGTCTAGTTGATTTCTCAACATACCTTATCTCTAAATCCCCAAAGTTTTACTCCTTAGAGGCAATATATAATTCTAACAAATGCAGAGTATTTTCCTATTTTATTAAATGCTCCAGAAAACAAGCCAGTCTAAAACTGAAGGAGAAAACAGAGATATGTAGTGTTTTAATTGCAAGGCATATGCTTCATCATTAAGCTAACAGAAAAACAAGCAACCAACCAGAGATACTGCTGAAACCCCATACTGCAGCTTCAAGGCTGTTTGAACACGAGTCCCTGCAGCAAAACAAGGATTTCCAAGTTCTTAAGGAAGGGCAAATTAACTATAACAGGACAACCCTAAACCTAATGAGAATAAACAAATATTTTATTCTTTTAATGATGGATTTTGGAAGCACGTAAAATATTCCGACCTGACTTGGAAAAAGAGAACTTGTCTTTGCATTTAGATACAATTGTTCCAGCTTTCTAGGAGCACAACGTCCAAAACAACATTTACCTTTACCTAAATTGTTTTAAGATTCTGTCACTTCAGACTGCCACAACACCACACACAACCTAAAATGCAACACCGCAGATAACATGGCAAATGCTGTAGCAATTTCTCCCGCATGAGGCACTGAAGAGCACTTACCAAAGAATCTAGTTTTAAAGCAGCAATTTAGCTAATGGGTCTCATTTGTTTTATTACTGCCCCCATTAATCTACACTGTCCTTTTTAATATCCCATTTCTGCTATCATCGTGTTCTTCAGGGAGAGCAGGAAAAGCTGCTGCTGCTTCTTTACTCATCCCGAGGTGCTCAAAGCAGCATCCTTCCCAGCGATGACCTGCTTTTGCCTCTATTGCCACGCTCATCTATTGTTATCCAACTTACTAACCCTAGTGTATTTAACTATCAGTATGTTGTTTGGACCAACAACAACAAAAAACCCCAAACTCCTCTAAATCCCACAGAAAAACCCATAATTCCAGCTAAATATACCTTAAGAAACAAAGAAAGCAGCCTCAAGTATTTATTCCCAGAAGTACACGATACATACATTGAATATTTTCTCTAAACCACTCAAGGTCAAAGCAAGGAAACCAAATGTATAAATGCTATAATGAGATTATAGGAAAAAGCTGAGCTTTCTCCTGAAGGCTCACTGTCACAAGCATTCTTCAAATACAAACTAACATATTTAGGTGGGTGATAAACCAGACATGCATTCAGTGCAATTGAAAGGGTAGTGAAATGTTAATTAAGCTTTCCTTTCAGTGTTGTTTTATAAATCCTAGTGACTTCCTGAATTTTAACTAAGTCTTCCTGAAAGAGAAAAAGCTCTTTTTTTCCTCATTTGAATCAACATATTTATTGGGACTATTTTAAAAATTAAGCATTGACTTTCCAAATGTGCTGAAGGCAATTTTAGCAGGCATCTGCACATACACATTTCTGTTCTATACACAACTCAAACCCACACTGCCAGCACAGAGCTTGTAGAAATTCCTGATTGCCGTATTTAGTGCTTACATGCAGAAATTGAATATATGCAAGGACAAGGGCCTTGTCAGGAGAAAAGAAAAATGAAAAGAAAAAAAAAAATTCACTCCAAAAGCCAACCCTTTGATTCTATGTACTATACCAACACTGTCACCCAACCCAGTTACTAGCACTTGAATAAGCAAGAGCACAGCTCTGCAGTTCTCCTCAGCCACTGTCACTGAAGGCCATGGTTCTGCCCAGAGGAACTCCTGCCAGCTCCACTCTGCTCTCAGAGAGCTGCTCTGAGCACACCACAGATTTCTGGGGCTGTGGGAACCAAGGCTTTTGGAAGCCTTTCCTCAGCATTTAGTAACTTCCTCACTCAGGACAGCCCTGCTTGATGCCAGCAAGCACTGCTTAGGAGGTTTTCTTCAAAGGAAGAAAGAAGAAAAAAATTCCCACTGTGCATGCATGTTCACCCAAGGGAACGAGAGCGCTTGTTTGCAAGCACACATGGGGCTAAATGCCCTGAAGTCAATGGAAATACACTGTGACTGGCAATGAGCTCCAGGCATGCCTTCAAAGAAAAGCAAAGGGCTGGGGGGAGCCAGGGCAGAGATGCTGTCTGGAGACAGCATGGGCCAGGTGGTTACGTGGCCAGACAGGGAGCTCTGTCCTTGTGCTGCTGGTAAAAACTGAGGGTAGACTCAGCTAGTAGTAGAAAGCGTGTTGCATTCCTGAGGTACTGTGTTTAAATATCACGGGGAAGTTTACTCAGTACTCGCACCTCAGGGAGCTAGAAATTGTTAATCAGACTGCACTAGAACGGAAAGACAGAAAGCACGGTGGAAGGCAGGTGGATGTAGGTACTACTGAAACAACCTCTCCTGCCTGTGCTCTGATGACTGCAGCCTAATTCTGCTGCGAGCAGGGACATCCAGTGCAATTCCTATCAGTGCCTCTGTTGTTCACAGGCACTTGAAACACGGCCACGATGCTAGGAGAGTCACTTACTAATTTCAGCACTAACAAAAAAGGCTGAGCAGCAGCAGAACAGCACAGTCACGGGAAGACGAAACTGTGCCACTTTGTTTCCAGTTGTGAAAACCATAATTGCAACAACAAGGGTGGAAATGGCTTTCTGTTGGCCTAAAATGAAGAAAGTTAAAGCTTAGCCATTGGAATTGCCTGTTGTGGATGGCTCCAGTACTGGCTTTACACTGTAGAAATTCAAAGGCAACACTTCCACTCCCAGGAAATGAAATGTACTTAGGGACCTAAGAAACATTTTACAAGAGTTCACATCCAGATGTCTATTCTGTAAATCCAATTCTTCCCAAGGATGGGATTATGTTTTTCAGGATTCGCTCCAGACTCCCATTATTTCACTTCCTTAGAAAAAGATCACTAGGCTTAAGAGATCATTTAAAAAGAAACAAAACTGCAAACTTATGCACACATTCAAGCATGCTTCATTTTAATAATATACATACACTGATGAAAGCTTTCTTGAAGTTTGTACCACAGAGCTCTTCTAACATCAGTAACTGCTGCAGAACTACTGAGCAGAATACAAAACACACAAAGGAATAGAGGGGCTTAGGTTTTTAAAGCTCTATTTTCAACCACACACTTTGATTCAAGATTCCTTTGTGGCAGAGGGAGTGACCCAAGGCACTTACTCATCCTAGGCATCATGCTCTCATCGCCCTTAGACCTGCCATACATTTGTTAGATATTCACAATTAAGCAACAGGCTTACCTGCTGCATGATTTGGGACAACATGGTGCAGCAGCAATAGCTATACAACTAACAGTAACTAGAAACAAATTCTCAATGAAATATCATTTCTGCCTTGCCTTCTAGCTCCTATACCTTGATGAAGTTTCAATCAGCCTTTGCCTGAACGCCTACTCTGAAACCACTACATATTTTAGCAATATTCAAGTTGCAGCACAGCAGCAAAAAACAACAGTGAAATTATGGCATACATGATAATATAGGAATTTTTACTCTTTCAGTGAGGATGCATCTTCACCCACCAACACTGTGCTGAAGCTCATGCTCTTACTTCACTCCTCTGGGACAGAGGATGAGGGATGGACAGGAGGTACAGAGGACAGAATGAAGCACAGTGGGTACATATAACAAAGCCTAACAGCCTTTCCTCTGCTTTCCTTGGTATTTAAAGGCCTTTGTCAACTTTATTTTCCTGATGGTAAAGCATAACTATGCAGCCTCAAGATGCACCACAAGCATTGTAAATTCAAGTACAAATGATCTCAATAGAGCTCAGAGAAATCACAAAACAAATTTTGCACAGGGCCATAGCATACAGATGAAAAATCATAGGTTCAGCTAATGGCGAGGTGCACCTTAAAAGCCTATAAAGCCAATGAATGAGGACTTCAGTGAGAGTAACTTGCTACAAGGCTGTACACTAGGATATAGTATCATGTACGCCTCAAGCCCATACCAGTTCTTAGGAGAACCATAAACCTTGCATGTAGTTTATACTAATAAGTTTAAAAATATGAACAAAAACAAATAAGGATTAAATTGGCACTGCACAATCCACCTCCAGAATGGCAGCAGTATGACATTTGTGAAATCAATTTTAGATAAACAATGACGGGTGCAAACTTGGCCTCATATTACATTAGCTGTTAAGACATAAAGCGTGAGGAGATGGAATCATCTTCCAGATCTACCATGAACCAGAATCAAATCAAAGTGATGCCCTTTGGGAACATGAAACAGTGACAAATAAATGAAGGGCAGTATCTGCTCAGGGAGGAGGTGAAGCACCCAGAAGGTCATAAAACTCGGTATGCAGTGACCTAAAACCAGGGGTGGCACAGGGATGTAGAGGTGGGAAATTTCCACCAATGGGGAAAGTTGGTCATCAAGGCAGCTGCTTTGCACTGTGTATTATATATTTAAGCCAATTCTGATTTGCTCTGGCATTACACTCAACAACACCCACTGATGTTAAATATCTGCCTGAAGTGCAGTAAGTTGACAAGTTTGCACAAGAAAACCTTCAAAGATAAAACTCTATCAAGAATGCCACCATTACTTGACAGTTTCTATTTCACTTTGCAGTTAAAAGTGAGGTTTAAATGAGGATGTTGATGTAACCAGAAACGCTTACACTGTTATGGAGAAATAGCATTTGGAAAATCCACGGAGGTACAAATGTTGGGGATGCACCTCCATGGCTGT